CTCCTGATTTCCCTACCCACGTCGACCGTCTGCGCACCATTCTTCAGTGTCTTACCAAGGCAAACCTCCAGCTTAACCTAAAGAAGTGCCGCTTTGGGGCTCGCCAACTTACGATACTTGGTCACGTCGTGACAAAGGATGGAATTTCCCCGACCCAGACAAACTTCGAGCCGTAGCAGACTTTCCGAAGCCGACTTCACTCAAAGAACTTAGGAGCTTCATCGGCTTGTGCTCGTATTTTCGTCGTTTCGTCCACAACTTTGCAACAATAATAGCCCCACTTACACAACTACTGAACGGTCCAGCTAATCTTTCTAACTGGACCCCGGCATGTGACGAAGCTTTCCTTACACTGCGCCGCCTACTTACGTCCCCACCGATTCTACGCCATTACGACCCAAGTGCCCCACTGAAGTGCACACAGATGCCAGTGGCGTTGGTCTGGGAGCAGTACTCGCGCAACGAAAGCCAGGTATTCCAGAGTACGTCGTCGCATACGCAAGCCGCGCACTCACGAAAGCGGAGATGAACTACTCCGTAACTGAAAAAGAATGCCTCGCAATCGTTTGGGCGTTAAGCAAGTTTCGTCCTTACTTGTACGGACAGAGTTTCGATGTTGTGACCGATCACCGTGCACTTTGTTGGTTGGCGTCGCTAAAAGATCCTTCAGGTCGTCTTGGACGTTGGGCTCTTCGACTACAAGAATTCGACATTCGTGTCGTCTACCGCTCAGGACGAAAACACTCTGATCCGGACGCCCTCTCACGATCACCAGTGAGATCCACCGCAGACCTGCATTCGGACACCAACTTCTCCATCGCTCCCATTTCCGTCAAAAGCATGTCGTCTGAACAGCGGAAAGACCCATGGATAACATCTCTCCTTAACATTCTTTCCGACTCTCCAACGTCTGCGTACCCACGCGCTCTTCGCCGCCAAGCCACACATTTCGCGATACGGGACGCGCAACTATACCGCAGAAACTACCACGCGGATGGTCGTAAATGGCTCTTGGTTATACCACGCCACATGCGATCTGATGTCTGTGCGTATTTTCATGCCGACCCACAACATGCTCACGCTGGTGTGTTAAAAACATATCAGCGGATCTGCCAGCGTTACTACTGGCGTGGTATGTACACTTTTGTACGAAAATACATTCGGTCTTGTTCATTATGCCAACGCCGAAAGACAGCTGCCCATTCACCCGGATTATTACAGCCTCTACCGTGTCCGGAGCACCCTTTCGACCGCGTTGGTATCGATCTATATGGTCCCCTTCCTTACACTGCCACTGGAAATCGATGGATCATTGTCGCCGTCGACCATCTGACGAGGTATGCTGAAACAGCTCCACTACCTACGGCTGGTGCACGTGACGTAGCCAATTTCATTTTGCGACGCTTCGTACTGCGTCACGGGGCACCACGTGAACTGCTAAGTGATCGAGGGCGTGTCTTTTTATCCGAAGTTGTACAACTCCTTCAGGCATGCCGCACGGTGCACCGCACCTCTACAGCCTACCACCCGCAGACCAACGGTCTAACTGAGCGCTTCAACCGAACGCTAGGAGACATGCTCGCCATGTATGTCAATTCCGACCAATCAAACTGGGATGTCATTCTCCCATTTGTGACCTATGCGTACAACACCGCGACGCAGTCAACCACAGGCTTCTCGCCTTTCTTTCTTCTATATGGGCGTAAGCCATGCTCCACCCTTGACACCATTTTGCCGTATCGTCCCGACGTCTCAGAGTTCAGCCCTCTTTCTGAAATATTCACCACGCTGAAGAGTGTCGTAAGTTGGCCCGATCATTCACCTCGAACAAGCAAGCATTCGAAAAAGACCGCCACGACCGCGACCAGCAAGTCGAGACTTTTGCCGTGGGCTCGCTTGTCTGGCTTCGACTGCCCTCCCACTCCCCAGGTCTGTCCGCTAAGTTTGCCCCCAAGTTTCACGGTGCTTATCGCGTCGTCGAACGTCGATCTCCTGTCACATACGTGATCGAGCCGGTCACGCCATCTACAGACAGGCGACGCCTTGGTCGTGAGACTGTCCACGTGAGTCGTCTCAAGCCATATCACGACCCACTCCTAATATCATCACCTTGACTTGCCAGAATGGCTCGTCTTCGTCGCCGGGGTATTGTAGAGAAGAAGAAGAATATGTGCCGCAGTGGGTGACGCCTTTAGCAAGAGGAGCCGAGCGCGAGCTGTTGCCCCGAGCGTTGTGTATCCTGCGTCGGTTCCTGCCGCCCGGTTCCCGCATCAATAGACCTGCTGTGCAAGCACTACTTGTGCCAATAAACCCCGTTCCAATGCAAATAAAGAAACAAAAGTCACAGCTTTGCCGCAAAGGCGAAGCACTGAGCACGATAGAAAAGTCATGCGAAGAATGGTTAGCAGATCGAAACGTACCCCGCGATGCTCACGCAAAAATGACGCACAGAACGTACTCATAGGTACGGATGAACGCGAATAAGTATGTGAGTTCTTACTTCGCTGTGTCTGAAAAGCGCACCCTTTTCTCAAAGGGCGACTGTGCAGAGAATTCAGTGAATGCAGTGACCTTTGTACGGCCGGTAACTACAACGGAATCGTTCTGGGGAATGCCCAAGGCGTGAAATTCTTCCTACCACGAGATAAGCTGAGCACACGCGTGAGCGTCTACTTACCTCGTCTGCGGGGCAAAGTACGCGTGGGAATGAACACATGACCGCGAGTCGCCGTGTCGTGATAATCTGACGGCGTGTGCTCAATGCTTAATTTCGCTGGTAATGCTGAAAACACGATAGTTCCCTCTAGATCGGCATTGCCAGCGGCAAATACTACATATGAATAGCATGCTGTTTCAACCGCTGTAGGAGGCGCTCCTTCGTGGCTAGTAGCTTACGCCACGCACTCACACACAAGAGGTCAGATGTTTATTACGTGCGCCGGAGTCTTTTTCTGAATTAGTTTTCTTTCTTGTTCATATATATATATATATATATATATATATATATATATATATATATATATATATATATATATATATAAATATATATATATATATATTCAGCATTGTCCATACAATACCTATTGCAATAAGAATGAGAAAGTCGGGTTTTATCGGAGTTCCAGCCCAGGTCGGTTGCGTAGCATGCAGGTGTTCTGCCATACAGCCACGCTTTTGCTTGTGAATAGAGTGAAACTAACTTTCTCTGCTTGGAAATACAGTGATGGGGACTTTCATACTTTATAAACATACACGTCCAGTACACATTATTCTCAATACAACATCAAAATTTGACACAGTAATGCGTTGTACAAAGCCTACGTTGTCATCGGGGTTCAGAACATGAGATTATCATTACGATTCGGTAGCTTAAAGCCAGTCAGCCACTACAAAAGGCACACGCAGTACTGCACCATCAAGGTCACGTATTGGGCGCATAGCAACGTAGAAAAGATTTCACGCAGTAAGTGTCTGAAGCATGCCCTATATGAACGAATATCACTATCGCGTTCGGCTCATAAAGGCGCAGCTTGGGGGCTCCCAATTTTTCTTCAATTGACCTTATTTATATCGTTTGTGAATACATTGTTATGTGAGTAGTTATATGTATTGTACGTCTCTTGCTATAATTCCTCTTGGCAATGCAGGTACCTAATATATACAAAAGGCTGTGTCTTTGCTTTAGACATGCTTACATAGCTTTAGACTTTATACTTCTTCAGCTTGTAAAAAATAATTATCTGATTCAGCTGAGGAGGCCTCACAAGAACGCAGCTGATAGGTCTGAAGCTCAGTCGTCCGAGTTATCTGAATTAGTTAAGGGGTCGTCATGTGCACTGCTGTTTTTGTGCGCCGTCGGCTAATATGCATGAAATCTACCACTGCTGAAACAGCCAGCTCTCATCACACTCATCACTGATAGAACAGCTGAGAGGGCTGTTAGAATTTCTATACGAGGAATGACGCAAGTAAAGAGCGGCATGAAACTGATCCGTCATTCGTTTCTAGGTCTTTAACTTTCGATGCGAGCAGGTGTGCATTCGCAGTGCAAATGCAATAGCTGAAGCGTACTGCATGCAATTGAATATCACGATGATTTGAAGTGTCTTTTGTTCAATTTACAAATGATGTTACCGCTGTATACAGTTCAACCCATAAAATTTAAAGACTGTCTCTGTGATTTATGGATAAAAAAACTTTATTATTCTTCCGGCAGGATAATGGCCCGGACTTAAGTCTTTCTAGTCGGTGCATTAGTGTGCCCTAATTTATGTTTTTAGTAGATGACTAACAACAGTTATACGTAAGTCATGTTCCTCAGTCGGCTGCGGCCCAAAATATCACCAATCTTTGTGCATGGTTGGCCTTCGGTGCTGTAGAGAGCAAAACGTAGGACACACAGGGGTGTCACAGCGAATAAATGCAAGATTGTGAGTAGTAGAACTCCTTTAAGTTAGAACTCTGAGAGCTAGATTAAAAAGTGCAGAATGATGTGTTCTAGGACACCGTGTCCTAATGGCTCTTCTGATTTATCACTATCGGCTTTTCTTTAAAAAAAGTTACACATATACACGCCAGAAGCCAGTACTTGTTCCTATACCACTTTTTTATTTCTCAGCGTCTTGATGAAAAAAAATTACAATATGTGCAAAGCTGATGGTGTTACAAATCATCGGTACAGGTGAGATAAATACAGACGGTTCCCGCTAAGAATTCACAAAATTACCCTAAAACATCTTTCTGTTCCATTTAACATTTTCAGTAATTATCAGGATGTTGTTTTCTTGTACGAGGCATTTTGCCCTCACAAAAGAGTATAATGTCCGCGTAATTATCCCCATAGCTTGGTTTAAAATTGACATCAAGTTCGCAGATGTATTTTTGCATAGTTTTGATGGAAGCTTCATACGTTAGAAGGAGCCAGAAGTGAACATAATTCAATGAAAACTACCACATGGTTTTGGGTAACAAAACTACACATTATTTGAACGCCTTCGTAGATGACCGGAATTGCCACCCTTCAACACTCCCGTGGAAAATTTGCTATAGACGTGATTATAAGCCGTCTTGCCGAAAGACGACCCTTGGTACTTGCCTGTGCACCTGTGGTGAGTGCAATAATATTTTTATTGAGTGTTATGAGCTTGTTTTACTGTTTTCCAGAGCGTTGGTGACAACATACACAGGCTACACCTGTCGCCAGTGGCACAGGTTTGCAGGAACTTTCATCATAATTTTTTGTTTGTTTTAGTTATTGGAAACGATGGTCTTTAGAATTCAACAGAACGTCTCAGCTTTTTTTTTGCGAAGATGCGTTGAATATAACACGCCTTGGTTTGTTAGTACTCATTTTGTTAATGCTGGTCGCCCAAACCATCATGGACATTCATGGTGATAGCATGAAAAACGTGTATGTTTCAAACTTCCCACGTCAATTTCCAACCTCAAAAATTCAGAAGTAAGATCAGGTTATACAGTGTGTTTTAATACGAAACAACAACATATTCCTTTTTTTATTAGTACAGAAAGGTTTACAGCATCACTTTTGCATTTTCATAAGTGGAAACAATGCTAAACTACAACACATGTAGAAAAGTTCTAAAGGGCATTGGTGATAATAGCTCCACAAAAGTTCATTCAACGCTGTGAAATAAATTATTCTGCCAGCACGCACTGCTTTGACTACCAAGAATTTTGCATATTTCATAACATAAGTTGAAAGGAATAGAAGTGGAGAAAAAATGGTCTTTTGTGTCAGCAGGAACCTGATTAACAAGCTACGATTCAGAGTACTTGATGGTCAGCGGTTGCGTATTTATATCCCACTAAAGAGGTGGTGATTTTGCGTCCATTTAAATTATTGGTTTATCACATTGGTTACGCAACGATTAGAAACATGTACCATGGCCTCCTAAGCTTCTCGCCTGTTCAATAACGAGTTATTACTTTTTTTTGCTGAAAGAGAATTAGGGTGCGCCTAAGCGTGGAGTTATCCTAATGCAACACTTGTGGTTTTCAAAAAGGCACTCGCTCTGACTATGTTGGTCGAGTGCTCACGCATTCACCAAACAATATTTTTTTTAAATCAAACGACTGGCATGAGACGTTACTCAATATAATCGCATCACAGAGTAACACTGAGGTCTCAAGAGATAATGTCGGCTGTGACCTAGCCGTTCATGTCGATATTGCGCCAATATGACCAAAAATCAAGACGATGTAACAGAGAGAATGTAATTTTTTAGCTCGGAATCAGGCTCTTTCAGTCCATGAGCACTGTACAATTAGGACTAATGTAAAGTCTATTTCTCTTTTTTATCCGTGGGTGGGAATAAATTTCCATGCCCCCTGCGGAAGCTCTCTCAACTTAACGAGGTTTTTAACTGCTTCCAGGATTGGATACCTAGTAATCTTTCTGTTTTAGTGTGATTAGCTCGATTTTGATTGTGCTGAATTGATGACGGACAACACGAATAAAAGTCCTTTCAAGCTGTGCTCTAAATGGTAATACGGTTCATGAGAGCAGAGTACATGATTGCGTGCAGGTCTTGCCTTCAGACATTAACCTTTCCACATCCCCTTTTCGAGAAGCTCACGTATTCTCTTGACCACAGTATTGGAATATTTAAAAAATAACGCACGCAGTATTTTGTTGCGTTCATAGGTAATGTCCTTCTCCTTCGCAGCAGTTGATGAAACGAATCGCGATAATAATTTCTGCATCTTGCATATAGGCTTACAGTGCTCAATCCAGACGGAAAAGCTGAGCAAAACGTAAGAGACATTATTTTGGGTTTTATTTGTAGCGTAGTAACCATGGCAGACTAAAAAATTAAAATAAACAGAAGGAGCAACATCCCACATGCATTAGTCGCCCTGTTTTGGGTTGGTTTTAACACAGCATGTAAGAGATCATTGTGAAAAGTAACCAAGACAATAGGGGCGCACAGAAACGATCGTATGTCGCAGTGTTATAATTTGACGAATAACAGGTCGTGACAGCTATATTATCTTTCTTATGTCCTCTTTTGCAGTGAAAGGCTAAAGCGTTTGTTCCATCACCCCAAGCTATGGCACCCCATGCGGAAAATTTTCTACAATAAACATATTGAAAAAATATCCTTCGTGATCTTCATTATACCTTTCACATTTGTAAGTCACATCCCATAATATTTTCAGCGCCCACAGAAGAGAAGAAATCAACAAACACGCAAAGGGCGCTGAAGTATAACTTATGGTTTATTCTGAAGCTGCAATCATGCATACGCTTAACCAGGCCACGCCGCCCAAGCCAAGCGCCAACGAAAAACACATTAATAATATGACACGCATATATAGCCGATTACTTTTTAGTGTTCGCGAAATTTCTTTTTTGAGAGCATAATAGATGCAGCGACACAATGAACCCGAACTAACGAGGGAGTTTCGACTAGCTCCTACGCCTAGCCGTGCGCGGCTGTGCCGTGTCCGGGGAAAAGGGGATCCTGGGGGTGTAGCCGACGCGGGGTGATAGGACCTTTAAGGCCCCCCCGGCAGAAGGAACACACCCCTTTGGCCCCGGCTTCACGTAGGTGGCACCCCTGGACTGACTCAACAAGGGAAATCGGCAGTCGCCTTTCCTATTCCTTCCTCTATCTAGATATTTGTCTTTGCTATCACTTTTTATCTTTCCTGTCTTCTTTTTCTTCCTTTTACTTCCAATTTTTCTGGCGGTGAGGGTTAACCATGTGCAAATAGTCTACCTTGGTCTAGGCGCATTGGGTTATAGTGGCGTGTTACGACTGGTGTCGGCAAATGTTTAGTATTTAGAAACTTGTAGCGTCTCCTCGTTGGGCACCATGGCGGGTGGGCGCCAACGCTGCTGAATAAAAATAAAAGAGGCATGCATAAAGCATTCCCCTCACTTAGCGATCGTACCGGCTTGAAGCGGGTATGCACTGATGACATAAACTTTTTCAACAGGCCAATAAAAACTTTCTCTCACTTTCATGTTATCCACTGTGAAAAAACTGGAAAGCAAGCCAGGACCGTCTCTCCCTTCGTAGTTGAGGTGTGTTACCGAAACCCTTGGCGCTGGATACAAGGTAATCAAAGTGACTAGCGGAGACCTTCTCCTCGAAATCCGGTCAAAGAACAATTTGAAAAGCTAGACCGTCTCTCAGATTTCGGTGGCATACCAATAACCATAGCACCACACAGATCAATGAACACAACTCGCGGAGTGGTATCTGAAATGGACTTACTTGACCTGACCAAGACTGAACTTTTCGAGGGGTGGAAGACCCAAAATGTGACTAATGTACAGAGAATTATCATCAGAAAAGACAAAAAGGAAACACCAGCGAAACACCTAATACTCACGTTTGCTTCCAGTAAATCGCCAGAAACCATTCAAACAGGGTACACGAAAACTTCAATCAGGCCACACATACCAAAACCCCGTCGTTACTTCCAATGTCAGAGGTATGGCTATGGCTCTAAAAGCTGTCGTAGTCGCCAGACCTGTGCACAATGTAGAGCCCTGAGCCACGTGTCTGAGAACTGCGAAGAGCAGCCGCACTGTGTAAACTGTGACAGAAACCAAGCTGCATATTCACGTTCCTGTCTATACTGGAAGAAAGAAAATGAGATAATAACGATGAAAGTGAAAGAAAACATTTCTTTTAAGGAAGCAAGGAAAAGAGTCTCGCCATTTTATGGCCCAACGTATGCTGAAGCGGCGCGTCAGGCCCGTGCCACTCCCTCGGCCGGCACATAGCAAGCCGGCGGTTGTGGCACCTGCCCCGAAGGCGGCTGTATTCCAGACTACTCCGCCTACTCTCGAACAAAGACCGGAGACTCCAGAGTCCTCAGTTCTCAAGTCCTCGCCTCACCGGGCGAGGCCCAGAATTCAAAGAACCAGCTCGCACGTGCGGGCATCCAGTGCCTCCGAGGAGGCAATGGATACGTCGGTACCCTTGGTGTCGAAAGAGCGGCGTGGCTCCTTAGAGCGCGTGAAGCAAAAAAGCAAATAACGGGGCCTGGTGATGGCCCTGTTACTTGAATTCAAACTCCCCGCCTAAACAGCAACTCGCTCCTCGTACACACAGCACTACTTTACGTTCACGATGAGCACTCAAATTATACAATGGAATGTCGGAAACCTTCTCACGAACCTTGACGATGTCCAAGAACTTTTACACGAACACTCACCAAAAGTGCTGTGTATACGAGAAACACACATAAATGCAAAACACACCAAATTTTTACGTAAATACGCTATTTTCTGAAAAGACCGTGATGATGGCGTGACATCATCCGGAGGTATTGCCATCAAAGTGAATCAAAGGATTGCATGCACACACTTTCAACTCCAAACATCACTTGATATAGTGGCTGTTCGAGCTGCGCTTTTGGACAAACTCATAACAATTTGCACTTTTTACGTACCTCCAAGCTATCACCCACAAAAACATGAACCCCAGTCCTTAATCAATGAACTTCCGGAACCTTCTATTCTCCTTGGAGACTTGAATACGCATAGCAGGCTATGGGGCGACTCTCGCTGTGCCGCCCGAAGTCGACTGAGTGAACAGTTTCTTCTCTCTTCCAGTGCTTGTATTCTGAATAAAAAAGACTCAACCTATTATAACCTGGCTAACAATATTTATTCCTCAATAGACCTCAGCATAGCATCTCCATCGCTTGTGCCTCTACTTCACTGGAAAGCATCACTAATTCCTACGGAAGTGACCACTTTCCCGTAGTTTTGAGCACACCTACATCAACTGAATGCCCACCACAGGTTCCCAAATGGCTATTAGGCAAAGCCGATTGGGAAGAGTTTTATACCATCACTTATTTAAGCTGGCGCGACATATGTACTTATAGCATTGATGCTGCTGTCAACTGCTTCAATCCGTTTTTGATTGATGCAGCAACAAAATGCATCCCACAAACGAATTGACATCCTGGAAAACGACGTGTGCCACGGTGAAACTATTAGTGCAGAAATGCACACAAGCAGCAAAACAAAGCATGGAGGTTGCTTCAGAACTCACCGACAGCCGAAAATCTTCAATTCATTAAGAAAATGAAGTCTCAGGCCACGCAAACGCGTCAGCAGGCCAGAAGAGAAAGTTGGCAAAAGTTTCATCAAGGATCAATTCCTATGCACAGGAGGCTAAAGTTTGGAACATGGTTGGTAGGGTAGCAGGAAAACAAGTAAACACACTCCCACTTGTAAACACATTGGGTAACACCTTGGAAGATCAGGCGAACTTCCTCGGTGCACACTTCAAGCTGGTGTCCAGCCCGTCGCACTATAATGACGCTTTCCAAAATTACAGAACCAAAATAGAAAAGTAAAAACTCGAACACAAATGTACAAGATACGAGGCGTACAACCAAGCTTTCAGCTTACCTGAGCTCCAAACATCACTGAACTCCGGCAATGACTCCGCTGTAGGTTATGACCCTGTGGTATTCCATATGTTAAGCACGTTCCAATTGAAACACAAAAACCTTACTCTGCTTTACAATGCTATCTGGTTCTCTGGCGCTATGCCTTCTTCCTGGAAAGAAGCTGTTGTTGTTCCCATATTGAAACAGGGCAAGGACCCTTCTTCAGTGTCGAGTTACAGGCCAATTGCGCTTACAAGCTGACTGTGCAAACTTTTCGAAAAAACTGATGAACTGCCGACTTGTACACTTCTTTGAAACAAACAATTTGCTCGACCAATTTCAGTGCAGGTTTCAAGAGGGTAGATCCGCCACTGACCACCTTGTTTATATTGAGGCACAGATGAGAAACAATTTCGTTCATAAGCAATACTTTCTTTCTTCGTTCTTCGATATAGAAAAGGCTTACAATACAACATGTCGCTTTGGAATATTAAGAGACCTGTCGCATCTTGGCGTCTGCGAAAGAATGTTTAACATAATCGAAAGTTACTTGTCAGATCGGACATTCCGATTTCTTGTAGGCAGCATTTTTTCCCGAAAATTTGTCTACGAAACAGGCGTGCCACAAGGTGGTGTACTTAGTTGCACAATGTTTTCCATCAAAATGAATTCTTTGCTCTTGTCCATCTCTCGCAATATGTTTTGTTGTACATATGCCGATGACATCCAGCTTTGCTTTAGATCTTGAAATCTGGCCTTGTGTGAGCGCCAGGTTCAGTTTGGTTTGAACAAAGTGTAATAACGTGAGCAGCAGACAGCATACCAAGAAGCAACTGATAAGCTTATTAGAAGACGCACCATATATAGGCGCAGAACCACGTGATCGGTCGCACAGGAATGCGCGCACTGGGTGCGCAGTGATAAGTGACGTCACGCTACAACACTCCTTCCCCTTCAGATTACTTCCGAAAGTCACTGGACTGGTATCTGTTCGGGACATGTCGTACACGTGCACTACGACGCAGAGTTGGAAGTTCGGCTGCAGGTGGCGCGTCGTCGGCACTGGGCTGGTCCGGCGAGCCGGAGGCAGCTGCTCCGGCCGTGGGCGATGCAGTTGCCGGAAGGAGAGACGTCGCAGAGTCGGTTGCGTGTGGATTTACGAGAGGCGACCCGGCGACTGGCCCACACGCCATCGGAACCGTCGGTGGAGTCGTGTCTACGGATGCCGTTGGAGCAGGTTGTGCCTGCGGATAACTTGAAGAATCCTGGCTTCCGTGGCGGGCTCTGATGTGGTCCGAATGCGTAAATCGCACCGCCTGCGACACTTTCACCAGATAGGTTACGGGACTGATAACCTGTGTCACGACACCATCTTCCCACGACACTGTTTCACCTCGCACAGTCTTCACCCACACAGCGTCCCCCACAGCAAAACATCGCGGAACCCCCCTAGACATGTCCTTTTGCACTTTGGTACGTTGCTGCTGCTCCCGCATGGAGAGCTCGAAATCTGGTTTTAGCAATGACAGCTTTACCCGTGGCTGTCTTTTCAAGAATAATTCTGCCGGGGTCTGGCGAATGGTACTGTGCGGAGTAGTCCTGTAACTCATTAGATAGCTGTCCAAGCGTTCCCGAAATGAATGTTTGTGGTGGCTAGCTTTGTCCTGCAAGACATGCTTTGACAGTGCTTGTTTGGTAGTCTGCACTAAACGCTCGGCCGCTCCGTTAGAAGCCGCGTGATAAGGAGGTGTCTTGACATGCCTTACACCGTTTACACTCAAGAAGGCCGCGAACTCTTCGGAAATGAACTGCGGTCCATTATCACTCACCAGTACCTCTGGCAGACCATACGCGGCAAACATACTACGTAGCTTCTCAATGGTTTTGTTAGCAGTAGTGGATGACATAGGCGAGACCTCGATCCATTTAGAGAACGCGTCGACGAGAACCAAGAACGCCTGAGAGCCCTTTACCGAATAATCGACGTGCACGCGTTGCCAGGGCCTTGTGGGATAATTCCATGGTTGCAAAGGAACTGGTGAAGCAGCTTTTTGGACGGCCTGACAAACCTGACATTGTCGAACGTAGCTCTCAACCGAAAGGTCGAGGCCAGGCCACCACACAAAGCTTCTTGCTAACGCTTTCATGCGACTAGATCCCGGGTGGTCCTCATGCAATAGCTGCAAGACCTGTAGCTGGAGCTTATCAGGTATGATCACCCTTGATCCCCACGTTATGCATTCTTGCTCTACTGATAGCTCGTCGCGCCGGGAATAAAATGGTCTAAATGCTTCAGAGCACTCTGAAGGCCATCCATTTAAGATGAAGTGCGTCACGCGAGACAAGGTGGGATCACGTCGTGTGGCTCGCGCTACGTCATCCGCTTTGAGGGGCATGCTGTCAAATAGCAAGAGACACTCGGAAGGTTCATCGGCCGCTACAATAGGCCGTGGAAGCCGAGACAGAGCGTCAGCCACTTCAACATTTCTTCCCTTTCGGTATTTTAGTTTATACTGGTACGCTGCCAGGGTAATTGCCCATCTTTGCATTCGAGCTGCAGCAAGCGCAGGCACCGGCTTGTCGTGGCCTAATATTCCGAGCAATGGCCGATGATCTGTATAAAGAGTGAACTCTCGTCCATACAAGTAGCGGTGGAATTTTCTTAACCCAAACATCAGTGCTAATGCTTCGCGTTCGCACTGAGCATAGTTTTTCTCTGCGGCTGTAAGTGTTCTAGAAGCAAATGCCACTGGCCTTTCGTGTCCCTCTGCGGTCTCATGAAAAATGACAGCCCCCAATCCATACGACGAAGCGTCACATGTCATAGCCATTGGTTTCGCCACATCGTAAAAAGTGAGCACATTACTCTTGACAAGTAACAGTTTCGTAGAAGCAAATGCTTCGCTACACTCCCGTGTCCACGACCACCTTTCGCCCTTGCGCAACAGACGGTACAATGGCTCTGCCACGCAGGCAAGGTTACTTAAGAACTTTGCATAAAAGGTTAACATGCCGAGATAAGCCTTTAGCTCTGTTTGGCAAGTGGGCTCTGGCGCTTCTGTGATCGCCTTTATCTTTTCTTCTGTAGGATATATACCTTCAGCGCACACAGTGTGACCGAGATAAGTCACAGTGCTCTGAAAAAACCGACACTTTTCCTCTTTCAGTGTCACGTTGTAGTCACTCAGCCGCTGCAGGACTAGTTCCAACGTTTTTTGACAGTCGGCTAAGTCTTTTCCCGACACAAGGACGTCGTCTATGTAACATCCCACGTGCGGTATGCCTTTGAGCACCTCATCCATGAAGGACTGAAGAATGGCTGGCGCACTGGCTACCCCAAATGGTAAGCGCTGGAACTCGAACAGCCCCCTGTGCGTATTAATAGTTAGCAGTGGTCGGGACTCGGCAGTGAGCGGAATCTGCTGATACGCGGCCGAAAGATCCAACACACAAAACACTCTGCCGCCAGCTATGGCAGAGAACAAATCTTCCGGTCTAGGCAATGGGTAGTGGTCGGTCTTTAAAACAGGATTAATGGTGACTTTGTAGTCCCCGCACAGCCTCAGTGAACCATCTTTCTTTTGGATTACGACTACTGGCGTGGCCCAATCGCTCCAATTTACGGGGCGTATAACACCGCTTTTCTCTAGCCTTTCTAGCTCGCCTTCCACTTTATCTCGAAGCGCAAATGGGACGTTTCTGGCCTTGCCAAAAATAGCCGTACAATTCTGGCTTAAAACTATCCTTGCTTGATAGTTTTTTACTTTTCCAGGTTGCTTAGAAAACACCCCTGGGAACTTCTTTTTAACCGCCTCTACCTTGTGAGAGTCGCTTACATTTATAGCAAACACGCTTTTCCAGTCAAGCCCGAGCCTTTCAAGCCAACTTCGCCCCATCAGCAATGGTAGCTGCTTGCCGTTATCCTTGACGATAATAGCGGGTAGCCGCAAAGACTGTTTTCCCACCGTAACGGAACGTTGCATTGCCCTTTTACTGGAACAGGTTCCCCAGTGTATGTTTTTAGGGTGACTCGAGATGGCTCGCACTTGACATGAGGAAATGCGTTCAGCCTCACACTCTCAGGAATTAGTGTTACAGCTGCTCCCGTATCAATCTGCATGCAGAGGTCTTGCCCTTCTACGTTTAGCTGCACTTCATACCCAGAACGCACGGTATTGATAACATGGTACACATCTAATTCAGAGTCACTATCAGAGCAGTCCACCACGTTTGCAGTCTTGAGTTCTCTGCGATTACTTGGACACATCTTCTGTAGATGACCGATTTGAGAACAGCTGTGACACTGGACGTTCTTATACCAGCAAACACTAGCCGCATGCGCCTTGCCACATCTTTCGCAAACTCGCTTGGCTTCCTTGAGCTTCCGAAGCTTCGATTTCTTTTCGCTTCCTTTTCCTCTTATCGCCATTGCATAAAAAGCCGCTTCCTTGCCTTCTGCATGAAGTAACGCTGTCTGTCGCGCAGCCTGCTCTCGGTCCTGGGCTATCTTGCACGCCTTTTCGAAGGTTAAATCTTCTTCAGCAAATAGGGCGAGTTGCGTTTCCTCGCGTCTTATGCCTGCCACTATTCTGTCTCGCAGCGCGTCTTGCAGAAACTGACCGAAATCGCACTTTCTTGCTAACTGTTTTAAGGCCACTATGAAGTCCTCGACGCTTTCCTGCTCTTCTTGTGCTCGCTTGTTAAATTTGCAACGTTCGGCAATGACCGAGCACTGTGGGCTATAGTGTTTCTTCAACAGCACTGTGACCTCTTCAAAGGACTTGTCCCCAGGAACAGCGGGTACTACCAAACTTTTGAGCACCTCGTACGTTCGTGGTCCTATCACACTCAAGAATACTGCCAGCTTCTTTTCCTCTCTGATGTCATTTGCGGTGACGAAGTGCTCAAAACGCTCCAGATAGGATTCAAAATTCTGATCCTTCTCGTCGAACTCGTCTAGCTTGCCTAGTCGCGCCATTGTTCAGTAAAAGTGCAGTATACTTATCGGGTTGCTTTCCCCGATGACTGCGTTGCCTCTTGCCGAAGGTAGTGCCGCCTAGTTCAACCGTCCCAGGCCATGGCTGCCGTTGTTTTCTGGTCCATGGCTGTCGACCGCCGATCGCCCGCAATACTGCTTCGTACTGAGCTAGTACAAGGGGGCGGATCCCATCCTCGTCGCCAGTGTAATAACGTGAGCAGCAGACAGCATACCAAGAAGCAACTGATAAGTTTATTAGAAGACGCACCATATATAGGCGCAGAACCACGTGATCGGTCGCACAGGAATGCGCGCACTGGGTGCGCAGTGATAAGTGACGTCACGCTACAACACAAAGTCTCCAATTGGGCTGAAGAAAAAGGGTTCCGGTTGAATGCACGGAAAAGCACGTGTGTCTTGTTTTACAAGAAGAGAGGCCTTAATTCAGAACCTGTTATTCAACTGCATGGGCAACGTCTTTCTGTTAACACCGAAAACAAATTCTTAGGCCTCATCTTGGACACCAAGCTAACCTTCATGCAACAGATTAAGTATTTAAAAAACAAGTGCATAAAAGCCATGAACGTTCTGAAAGTGTTGTCACGCACTACGTCGGGAAGTGACAAGAAGTGTCCAATCAATTTGTATAAAAGCCTCGTACGTACCTAGACTATGGGGCAATAGCATACCAGTATGCGACACCTACCGCCCTTAAAATTCTTGACCCTGTTCATAATCTAGGCATCCGTCTCTCCACGGGTGCTTTTCTCACTAGCCCCGTGGAAAGCCTCTGCGTAGAATTGAATGAATGGTCGCTCCACCTACAGAGATGTTACATGTCTTTAAAATATTATCCTAATGTAAATGCAGACAAGAATCACCCATCACATTCCACAATTATTGACATGTCAAGCGTTGTTGTGCTTAAAAAACGGCCTTTTATGAGAGAGCCCTGCTCCCTCCGTGTGTGGGGCCTAGCGAAGGAAACCGGTGTGCCAATTGAACACCGTTTGATGGCTCCCGCAGTGTACCGTGGCAGTGGTAGACAATAGATCGCGATGTGTCTTTCTTGGAGGTTAGGAAGCATGCACCAATTGCACACCTCCAGACATACATACTTCCTAGAACTACAACAGAAATACACATGTCTTGAGTTCTTCACGGATGCTTCTGGAACGTGCTCGGACTACAGCAGCGTTGTACGCATTTGCTCGCCACTATATTCATCGCGTATACTTTACTCCACATAACATCATCGGTGGAAGGAGCGGGGTACAACTCGCTATACAGCCCCACGAGCTGGATCTTCGCAGCGGAAGGCGCAACACAGCTACCAGGATGACTGACCAGGCTACTCAATGTCAACCAGATCCGTCAGCCCCGCAACCGATTGTTGTGGTGCAATCTCGTGACCCAGGCCCATTCAACGTCACAAGTGGCATGACGTCAATGACTGGCTGGTTCTATATGAGCGCGTCAGCAGCAGCAACCATTGTGATCCGACGCTTACGTTGGTGAACATCATCTTCTACTTGCATAGCACGGCAAAGCTCTGGTGCGAGACACATCAAGAAGAGTTGACCAGCTGGAACGTCTGTATGCAGAAATTGCGCTATCTATTTGGGGTACCCATCGGACGTCAAGTGGCCGCAAAGAAAGAGCTTGCGACTCGTGCCCAGACTTCCACAGAGCCGTACATCGCGTACATTCAGGACGTGTTGGCTTTGTGCCGCAAGGTCGACGAGGACAAAGTCGGACACATTTTGAAAGGAATTGCCGATGACGCCTTCAATTTTCTGCTGTGGAAAGACTGCTCGACGGTGGAGTCGGTCATCGAAGCATGTCGTCGCTTCGAACAGGTGAAAAGTAGGCGCATAGCTCGCTGATTTGCCCTCCTTCCCAACATGGCGGCTACGTCCTCTTGCGAAGATTTGCCCACTCTACATCAACCACCAGCGCCGGAAAATGTCACCAGAATAGTCCATCAGGAACTCCAGACTATGGCACCCGCTATGTCTAGCGTCAGGACGCCAGGACACAACCTCGATGCTCTTTAATGATACAGGCCGTGGTCGGTCAAGAGATCGGGAATATGCGAATTTCGCCACCTCATCCAAATGCCCCTGCTACTTCCGGCTCAGCTCCAGTCGTTGCGACTCCGAACCGCACGTTCGCGCCACGACGAAACCCAGCTGAATGGCGCACTCATGATGATCCGCCCATATGTTTCACGTGCCATCGAATATGACACATTGCTCGCCATTGCCGCAGCTGTTGGACCTCATCACCTCGACCAAGCTTCTATGATTTGACACCTCGCTCCGAAAGTGCTCCTTATGGCCCGTTCTCCTGTGCTGAGACAGGTGCAGAGCATAATTCAGAACGTCGGACCAGCCGCTCGCCATCGCCCGTGCGTCGTCAGTCCCGCTCGCCCCAACCCCACCGTTCTCAGTCTTCCTACGACCGTCGCTCGGAAAACTAGCCAGTGCAGCCCCCGGAGGTGACGCTGCATACACGACTCGGACTGCATATCCTCTGATTACTCCCGAGCAGCGGTACAACCTTCTTACAATTCTTGTTGATGGTTTACCTGTAACGGCTCTTATTGATACCGGTGCACAAATATCTGTGATGAGCTCAGACCTCCGCCGCCGCCTCCAAAAAGTTCTGAAGCTTGCGATTGCACCTATCGTTCGAACAGCGGATGGGAGTACTCCTTCTGTTCTTGGAATCTGCACTGCGCGATTATCGATTTCTGAGCATCAAACTTCAGTTCTGTTTGCTGTACTGGAAAATTGCCCTCATAACCTCATCCTTACACTCGGCTTTCTGACTTCACACGCTGCGCTCATTGACTGTTCTAAAGGTCTTCTTCAGCTCGAACTACCATCCTTCTCAGAGACCGTCTATACCAGCCCACCTCGTCTACAATCGGTCGATTTCCTCCGACTTCCGCCGCAAGCTGCAGTCCAAGTCCAACTCTCGCCATATCCTCCAGTACCCGATGGTGAATATGTTTCTGCCCCGATTTCTGACGCGGCCATGACACGTAATCTTGCACTTCTCAACACGGTGGTTACCGTTAAGGGCAACCGAACTTTATTTCCCGTCCTCGATTTTGGCTTCTCAGCGCAAGTTATTCTTGGCGGCATGCCACTTGTGCATCTTACACCACTGGTCGGCCACACAGTTTCCGCCCTAACCACCGATTCGCCACCCGGTTTTTCATCAACGTCGCTCTCGTCTCGTTCCTGTTCCGAACTTTTCAAGCCAATGCTATCTGACAAGCTCACCTCTGAACAAGTCTCTGCTCTCTGCCGTGTGCTTGCTTCTTATCAGGACAACTTTGACTTCGGCGACCGTAATCTGGGCCCGACATCCGTGGTAGCCCATCGCATCGACACCGGTGACGCTCGACCCATTCGCCGACGGCCCTACCAAGTGTCAGCCCGGGAGCGTGCTATTATACAGTGAGAAGTCGATAAAATGCTTCATAAAGGCATGATCGAACCCTCATCTAGTCCCTGGTCCTCGCCCATTGTACTTGTTAAAAAGAAGGACAATAGCTGGAGATTCTGTGTTGATTACCACCATCTCAACCATATTACCAAGAAATGTGTCTATCTCCTACCGCGCATAGATGAGGCACTCGATTGTTTAAACGGTGCCAAATATTTCTCTTCAATAGACCTTCACTCAGGCTACTGGCAGATTGCTTTGGACGAAAAAGACAGAGAGAAGACGGCGTTCGTGATTCCTGATGGATCTTATCAGTTCAAGATGATGCCTTTTGGATTATGCAATGTCCCCGTGACTTTTGAGCGCATGATGGACTCTCTCCTTCGAGGCATGAAGTGGACCATCTGCCTCTGCTACCTTGACGACGCTATTGTTTTTTCGACTACTTTCGACGACCATCTTAGCCGTCTGTCCACAGCGCTTGATGTTTTCCCACGTGCCAACTTGTAACTTTACTCGTCCAAATGTCGCTCTGGGCAACGCCAAATCTGCGTGCTCGGCCATCTTGTTGACGCTGCGGGCATTTAACCAGACCCTGCGAAAGTCTGAGCAGTTCGCGCCTTCCTCACACCCCGCTCAGCCAAGGACGTTCGAAGTTTTCTGGGACTGTGCTCCTATTTCCGTCGTTTTGTCAAGAAGTTTGCTGAATTAGCCCGTCTTCTAACCTGTCTCCTCAAAACGGATGTCGCATTCACCTGGGGTCAAACGCAAGCAAACGCCTTCTCATCGCTCGTTGACATTCTCACCAATCCACCAGTCCTAGCACACTTCGACCCATCTGCCGCCACGGAGCTTCGTACTGACGCCAGTGGCCACGGTATAGGCGCAGTTCTCCGCACCATGTCGTCGGCTTCCGCACCGCGTCATCGCGTGCGGAAGCCGACTGTTGTCGCGCTCGGAACAAAATTATTCGATCACAGAACGCGAGTGCTTAGCTCTCGTCTGGGCCATTGTGAAATTTCGATCGTACCTGTATGGCCGACCATCTTCAGTTATTACGCACCATCATGCGCTTTGCTGCCTTTTCTCACTAAAGGTCCCTACGGGACGCCTTGGTCGCTGGGCGCTGCGATTACAAGAGTACACTTTTTTCGTATTCCTATAAATTCGGACCACTTCACAAGGATGCCGACTGCTGGTCCCGTTACCCAGTCGATTCCCCTGACATGATTGAAGATAAACAAGAGGCCCTCGTTCTTTCCATTACCAACTTCACCGACATAGCTGCTGAACAACACCGCGACCCCTCTTTGCGTGCTATTATAAATGGTCTGCAGTCTCCCCACCCTGACCACTCCTTGCAACTGTTCGTTCTTCACAACGACATCTTGCACCACTACAACGCCCACCCAGATGGTGCTGAGCTTTTACTCGTTGTTCCTGCGAATCTTTGCTCAGACGTTTTATGCCCAGCTCCATGATGCCCCCTCCAATGGACACTTAGGGGTGTCACGCATGTATGACCGCGTTCGCCACCGATTCTTTGGGCCTGGCCTCTGCCGTTCTGTGCGA